GAATTTCTTGCTGGGTAGAGATGCGGATGGAGAGGGGACCAGCATCCTCAGCTACATCTTTGCAAGGCTGTTTCAAATTTACAAGTTCTACCAATTTAATGCTTCCTATTTTACGGATTCCAGCTCTAAGCTGGAATGCTATTTTCAAAGATCATTTGACCCAAAGACTTCAAGTTTGGAGCAAACCTATCAAAAAATGTTCAAGCAAGACACTTGATTTAGTAACTACAGAATTTTTTTGCAGATTGCCAAAGGATTGGTGCAATGACTCACTTAGTTGCTTGAGCTGCAGGCTCGGGTTTGTAAGGCTCAGGCGTATCTTTAAGACTGATTGCCTTAGCCACTCTGTTACCTAAATCTTTGTTGACGGCCAAGAATATAGCCACTTGATCCGTCTTGATGCAATCGAGACTGACGTTCCCAAGATGTCCGCTGACGTTCTTGACAAAACGTTCTTTGGCGCCATCATCAAAGACTTTTGACCACAGCGCACAAGCAGGCTTGAAGTCTAGTGTCTAGTTCCGTGACTGTTGTAGAGATGGCTCCTCCACATCCGGATATCCCCTCCATTTTTTAGCGGAGTTGGTCATCCGCATCCGCGGGCGGGTATCCGGTGACCACAGTGGGTATCCACGGATACCTGCCCCTAAATGGTTGGCGAGGCACAACCTTGCCGGCTGGAAGGAAATCCTTCCGGTCGACCGGAAGGATGAAAAGTGGTTTTATCTGGACATACTTTACAGGCTCCCAGCCAATCACTCTCAATTCTTTCAACAAGATTCCGCATCCTGGTGTCCAAATCTTTACGTTCTTGCCACCAGGAGATCTTATCTTGACGGCCAGTGACGTGACGGGCGCGCTGAGTGGCCGCATTACTCTTACTGACGATTGCCTGCAGTTCGTCCAGAGCCACCTTCAACGTGAACAGCTCATCTTCCCCTTCCCTCCAATTGAACCAATCCAGAAGCAGCTTGACCCCCAACGGATTGCACATCTTGTTGAGCTGGATGATGAATAGACTATCTTCTTCAAAGGCTAAGTGTATCAACACCACGTGCAATCCAGTAGGGAGATCTTGGAGGGGACAATATGTCGCAGGCAACCTGATATCGTTCCTGTGATGAGAGGCCACGTCTTGCCATCGGCTCAAATTGGCCCCCGAGATTGAGGCAATCTGCATTTCGTCTCCGGCAAGTAGTGACTCTTTGACTTCAACTTCTGATGGCCAACTGGTATCATCACCAGTCCCGACCACTCATGATTCAGCTCAAATACATTCCACCATCTCTTGTCGGATAGTCAGACTGCACACAAAATCTACATCAAGATGGCCATAGATAAATGGATGAGCTCTTTGATAGTTAGCAGATAGTTGATTTGAGGTGAGTATTTTGCGACTCACCCAGGCGAGCTGCAACCTCGCCAGCCACGTTTTTTTGCTCTTGTTGAAGGATACTATTGATGAACTTGAGCGTAATCAAGACGTGAATGGCCTCGTGTAAATTAGGGATGTTGGCGCATCCTATCGTCCGCTTAGTCAAGGCTTCTTCCATTGCTGTTAAGGAACGCGAGAGTTGGGGAAACTGGTCCTGAAAATTCTTTCAGTGATCCGGATGACTTTGCATCGAGGGGATCACAATCACTAAGAGAATGGTTTCAGAGGGTGAAAAATTTGCAGAATAGTATTCAAAACGAGGCAACGACCACAAGAATCAGCGGAATCTCTTACTGGCTTCCCATAATACTCCCAACAAAGGGTCCACCCTGAATTTTTGCAAAACATCATCCAATCCAAGCTTCCGGCCTCGGGTATCCTTGGGGATACCCGGATACCCGCCAGGGTTTTGTGGAAAAGGGGCCATCCGCAACCGCTGGCGGGTATCCGCCAGCGGATGACGCGTATCCGCAACGGATACCCATCGACCATCTCTAGACTGTTGAGAGTTGGCCACTGGGCTGACAGATTTATTAACAGGAAGCTGAGTATAGTTGATTCCTAATCTGTAAATGTGAGCATCGGCGTAAGAGAACAGTCGGGATTGAAGTACTGGATCGGCACTTGGCTTGATTCCCGGTGGGAGATGCGACGGCGAGAAAGCCACTTACTCGATTTGAGCGTGGTAACTGAAAATCATTTGAGGCATCAGCAAATGATCTCATCAAGATCAAAAATTTGAACTAAACAAAAAGCGAGATTAATGGTAAAACCGAGGAGTTGGACAAGACTCATTTTCAGGAATGGGGCGAAATCGAACGCATTCACGTTCTTCATGGTAGAGGTGTCGCTTTCGTGACTTATGTCTTGGAATTGAATGCGCAATTTGCCAAGGAAGCGATGATGTGTCAAAGCATGGTAGACAAGGAAGTCTTGAATATGAGCCACCAAACAATCCAAGCATGCAAGAATAGTGTTGATGGGAAGCGAGCGAATTGCGGCAAAGATGAATCCGGAGTTAGTGGAGGCAGTGGAGGCCTTAGACTGACTAGAGCAAGAAGGTTCTGAAGGGTCTCCAGAAGAAGCGGCACCAAATCAACGACAATAATGATCATGGACATGATCAGTGATGATCTGTTGTTTCATGGTTTGAGTTGTCTGCTGCTGACATAGCGTGAGGATTTGGTTTGACTCAAAACGTCTAGGTGACGCTGCGGGGCGCAGCGACAGCTATTTCTCCGTAGTGTCACCAACTGCACTATGCAGAATTTCTCTTGCGAATGGCACCAAATTCACATCCATAGACCAAATTTGCACTTTGGAGCAAGCCATTTCACACCTCTTTTGATGATCAAGTGCATTTTTGGAGCTTTTTCTGACAATCACTACCCTGCACTTTTGGAGCGTTTTTCGACGATTGACCACACTTTTGGAGTGATTTTCGACCATTGACCGCATTTTCAGAGTGTTTTTCGACCATCAACCACTGGCTCCAATCAGGAATTGTAACTCAAAGTGTCCAATGGACACACTAAAAACCGTCATCCATTGGACACTCTCGGTTGGAAAGTGTCTGATGGACGATAGATCATAGCGTCCATTGGATGCTTCATATTTGGCCAGCGTCACTTGGATGCTTTTGGACGCATCCAAGTGATGCTGGCTTGCCAGAGCGTCCCTCGGACACTCTGATTGCATCCATTGGACGCTCTCCTCAGGAAAGCGTCCAGCGGATGGGGCCAGTTTCAAAAAACTTGCACCGTGGTGTACCCGACCTGGTACTCCATTGGGTATGGCCAGGTCATCAGGTTTTGGGTTGCCACTTGATTTGTTGTCTGGTAGATTCAAGCTTGCACACCCAAAGCAGCTCTTTCAGCTGTTAGACATTTCTTCAAAACTTCATTTGACTCATTCCATTTCCTAAGTGCCCACCTGGCTTCTTGTACTAGCTGCCGTGTGACAGAAACCTCAAGAAGTACCAAAAAAAATTGGAAAGGAAGGATAGATAGAATTTCAGCCAATATTCTTACATACTCAGGTACTTCAATTTGGAAACATTTGGATTATTTTAGGAGCATGGTTGTAAATTGATTACAAAACACTCTGGGAGAAGCTCAGGTGTGAGCATCAGGCCTCCCCAAGCAATTTTTTAAAAATCTTTTCTTCCATGCAACTGGTGATCTAACAGATCAGGATCTTGACAAAAGGCTCTAGGATGGAAAATCGTATCAATAAGTTTACCTAGACAAGCTTAGTAAGATAGTGGAGAACTTCCCATCATTGGTTATGTAGCCCCTACAAATCCAGATTTGTAGGCCTTGGATCAGATTGCTCTGTGAAATTTGAGTTCAGTGGGGCTAAATCTTATTCTGTAGGGTCTACAGATATCAACCAGAAGTGCTCCAGAATTGGATAAACCCTAATGGTTTGCTCATATTACCCTGATTTTTATTGTCATAATCTTCAAGGCCCTTCTGGATAATGTAGGCAATATATGATTATTTTTGTCTGGCTTATCCTGCCAAAACTTCATGATAGATGTCAAAGGAATCCACACTATATTGCACAATTTTTTTGGCTGCAAAATAAGTCCTACACAATTTTAATTTTAGTGTTGTTCTCACTAATATTATTGGTCAAGTTTTTTATTCTATTCATCATGACCACTTTTTGGCCCTTTTACACAATTCATTTAATGTAGCCCATAACAGATAATAGAACTCATGTGTGCTGGTCCTTTATCTTACTCTGCTCTACCTTTCAGTCCCCTATTCAAACTCTTTCACATTGCCTTGTCATTAATTCTTGCTCTCTACCTTTCAGTCCTATACAAGCTCTTTCACATTGTGATGTCATTAATTCTTGCTCTGCCTCAAGATTGTTCAAACTCTTAAAGTTTTATATTTGAAGACTTTCTGTTTCATGGTCACTTTGCATGATTCCCAAACAGAAAAACATGAATTTCTGATTTCCCGGATCATCCTCTTATTTTAATAGCTTGTTGTTCTTCTGGGAAGATTGAACAATGGGCTCTGAATTGATTCTCTCTTTTTGGCCTTTTTTGTATCTACTTCTTAGAATCTCTAGTGGTTTGAGGGACAACCAACTTGCATTTTGAGGTTGACGGTAAGTCATGACTGTGAACAGTTGACAACATGAGAAGCCATTGGCATACACCACATAAGGAGGTGCAAGCCAATTTGATCAAGCAATGGCCACCCTTATAAGCCCTTCTGGGCCCAATTCAATTCCCAAAGACCATGATCCTGCTGGCCACTGCTACTGAGAAAACCCCAAAATTTGGGCCAAAACCAAGCAACCACACCACACCATAGGAGCCTGAGGGAATGGCCCGTTTTTAATTGATGCTCAAACCATACACCAGGGAATGTCTCTCCTCTATCACCAACACTTACACCAACCCTCAAGTAGGAAGAAACTCCATTCTTTTGATAGTAGCTGCTTGTGCCAACCACCAAGAGGAGATCTCTAAGTCAGCATCTATCATGGGTTATGAATAACAACATCATCATTTACTTTCTTTGTTCATACATCGTGTAATTGCATTCTTGATTTGTGCTGAATGGTTACATACAAGCTGTGATTGATTCATCAGACTCCCTTGCATATGAGCTTGTTATTAGGAGCCTTGTTCTAGAATTGTAAATACATTTCACCTGCCCTTTTATACCAAAGGAACCTCCTGCTCAGCTGACTGAGGTTCAAAGGGGAACCTAATCCTTGGGACTATGAAATGGGGAGCAATCAATTCCCAGGATGTATTTGAATGACACCCAACTGTGTCAATCCACACTACTCACCATAATGCACTCCAACAATTTTATTTTATTTATTGCGTAAATAAAAACAAAACTTCAGCAAGATAGAAAAAAAAAAAAGATGACAAGTAGCCAGATAAACGATGGGGAAGTTACATTTTTGTTTCTGTTAGGGTTTTGAATGAATTGAATGATAAAAGAAAACCAAGACCAAAGGGAAAAAAAGAAGCTCAAACTATAACTGATACTAATAATGCCAAAAAAAAGAACATGATATATATAGATATATATATATATGCATAAACAAAGAGGGACAAAAAAGAGTACACACACAAACAGTTGTGATGACAGAAAAGAAAGCAAGAGATCCAGTCTTGATGTCGAGTCCCTCTCCCCCCAAAGAAGGACGAAAACAACGACGAAGACGATACAAAGAAAGAACGATGAGGATTTTGGAGCGATCAGAAGAAGGGGCCGGTCGATACGACTTGGATTGATTCATTCTTCTTCTTGTTATGCTTCTTGTGGGATGAGAGATGGAGGATGGAGGGAGGTTGGGCTACCGAATCACTTGATGGAATCGGACTCCATGAAGAAATCCTGTATACGACAAAGATTATTTTTTTTGTGTGTAGAGATATGATATATAGATAAATAAATAAGATATCCTCATCCTTCCCAATGAACAAGATTTCAAAAATAAAAGAAGCAGAAGAAATAGGCGTTTGGGGAAAAGTGAGAGAGAAAAAAAATCGAGCGCTGTCTTGTTTGGAGTATGTGCATTTTGGTGACTGTTTTCTCTTCCCTCTCTAACGGATATATGTAGATGGGAAAGAGGGAGAGCGCGCTGAGGATATGTACTCCGATACACTTGGGGAACTAGTCTCCGATCCGAAAAAGGGGATAGAAGAGAGAGCAAGAGAAAGCAAGTATGACAAGCACTCACGTCTCCTCTTATCAGTCTGCCGGATCTCGATAGATCTCGAGCTGACCAAGCCGAGCAACGGCCCCTCCGACCTGCCGTTCAACGCATTAAAGCCCGCATCATCAACACCCCCAGCAGCACCAGGAGAAGCAGCGGAGGATTTGGCAGGAGAGGACCGCTCGAGAGATGTTTTAGTGAGCCAAGTCCTCGAAGGACGGGCGATTGGGCGCTCGGCTTCCGGCGAGGATCCGCGCTCCCCAAGGCCGGTCTGCCAGACGATCCCTAGGCCGAACGCCGACGAGCGTTTCAGAGCCCGTTCATCGCTGCTCTCACTACTTCTCGTGCTGTTCTTCTCTTCCGAATCCTCGTCATCCCCATCCTCATCGCTTTCATCGTCTTCTTCCGAAGATGAAGTGTAGACACGTTTGAGCGAGTTGATGGTCGTATGATGGACCGGACTAGATGGACAAGAGTCGGCAGGACTTCTGGGTGAGAATGAGCTGCTACTACTAGTGGTAGTAGTCGAGTCGGAAGTTCTTTGGGATAGGAGAGGTGTGGATGATGATGAGCATGCAGGCACAGTCGCAGGTTTGAGGGCGTCGGAGGATGATAGAGGGTGACTGGCGATGAGATTCTCGGGTAGGTATCGTGAGGAGGAGGAAGAAGGACGAGGGAGGACAAGCTCGGAAGGATGCAGGATGGGCTTCTTGGGCTTGAATCGGGAGGCCCTCAGGAAGAAGTCGGGATGTGTTTCATCCTGGAAGCTGATCCCATCCAGCAACTTGGCCACGCTCGGGAATTCTTTCTTCCGACTCTTGATCTCCTGATGCTTCTGGACCGGCGATGATAGCTGGACGGTCTTGGAGATCAGCGGTCGTGGGGTTCGCATTGGGGATGAAGGTTGGTCGTGGGTGGCTGTGAATCGGGGTGAGACTGTGTAGTCATGGAAAAACGTTTGATGTTCAGTCAGTCTGTCAGTATGAGCAGGAAATGAACTCAGATTCAGAATGAAACCGGACTGACTGTGACTGATGGCCATGATGAAGTGGATCGATTGAAGTGAAGAACGAGTGTCTCTGAGTCAAGTGATAAGTGATGAGTATCTCCTGCAGTTCTTTTTTGTTTCTCTGTTTGGTCTTATTCACTTGGAGTTATGTAGTGCTGTGAACGGAGAGGCGAGGCTGAGGGTCGGACTGAACAGCGGGCTGAGGGTTTAAGCCAGTTTTCGGTTGGGTTTCGGACTGGACAAAACTCAAACCGAACCAGCGAACTGGGAATCAGGTTGATCATATGATGCGCATGTCCTATCGAACTTAACACAAGTCCCCCTGGTGGGAGGCTCGCGAACTTAACACAAGTCCCCCTGGTGGGAGGCTCGCTGGTGTGACTGGCTGGGCGCGAAGCGCCCCCTCCCGCAGGGAGGGACTTGAAACTTAAAACGCATTTGCGGTGTGACCCAGAAGCACCGTTTTGGTGGTGGCGACCTTGTTTGCCCCACCACTCATTCATTACAACTCAAATTTATTTTTAATTCATGTGGATGAAAGATCTACATAATCCAGATTTTTAGATATTTTTTTCATTGCAAAAACCAGTTTGGTTCTGGTAGAAAACATGCAATGAAGTTCATGATTTTGAACTTTGATTTGGAAATTTGGCAGAGAGGCTCGAGCGCACTCTCAGTATAAGCATATTTTATGCCTGCAAAATGAGAATTTGTCTTTTTTCTGTTTGTTCTTTTAAAAAAGACTAGTGTCTAAAGGCGGCTGCGCCGCCATCTATTAAATACAAATATTTCATTTATTGCCTTCACTTTTCAAAAAAGAATGTATGGATTCCTCAAAAGGAAATCGCGCCTGTTTACTTGAATGTGAATCTCTAAGCTCGCATTTACAACAATAAATTTTAAAAAATAACATTGAGTCTTGTCTAACACAGGCCAAAAACGGGAGTATTATCAATTAAGCCTCTGGGGTCATCGCTGCTCACCTCTTCCTTGGACTCGCGCTTGATTCGATGGCTTTCCCCTTTCATTTAATAGAGGAACATTGCACATGAATTTCCAATCAGTAGGGCTGCCTCTGAGATTGCTTAATGTATAGAGCTCATGTTACCCAAACCAAAACACACATGTTTGTTTTTGCCTATGTTATTTCCCAGATGAACAACTTATACCGGCAAATTTGTGTCGCTCGATCCTTCCAGAAAATAGGGGATACATTCCAGAAACATGTAAAAAAATAGAAGATAATGTTCATATTACAGATAGTGCAGAAGAGTGGATCAGTAAGGGCCGGCACCCCGGTCGGCAAAAGGTAGTGCCGGAAGAGCAGATACGAGTTGTTGGCAATCGACTCAGTCAGCAAACTGTCCATCAGGTTCGGAAGCCCTTCGATCCCCGGACCATCGGTGATCGCTATGTTTTGGGTCGTCGAATGAGGCCGGGAGTCTAATAAATGATGGAAATGCTATACACACACATGTGTTTTTTAATTTCAATCTCTTTGTCAATTTTTTCTCACATTTTCTCTTGGATTAATTTGGAATATTATTATTAGATTTTCTGGTTTTGGTTGGTTACCTGAATGTATTGCATCTCATGCCCAACAATCACACTCCGACGCATCAGCAAAAGACTTCAGCAGGGCCTGAATACGCATATTCTTCGGGTATGGACCAGGAACTTGTAGTTGCAATGATCCTCGGGCATCTTGAGTCTGCCATTCAAGTTTTGCCAGACAATCAGCTTGATGTCACTCCACAATTTGCCTTTTGATACTTCCAGTAATTGCTAGATAGATCGACAAAAAAAAATCAGGATTTTATTCAAAAGAAGAAGAAAAAGGGAACTACATACTTCACGCAATTTAACGACAATAGCGCCCCTCCAAAACACCTTGGAGATTCTGGAATCCCAAGACAAGGAAGCCTCGCGTTTGGCGGTTTTATCGTGCACCTTGACCATCCTGCCGACCTTAGGTTCCGGCCAGGAATAGAAGCCATAGTCGGGCATCAGCCAGACCTCCTCCTTTGACTTGGTCCGGTTGAGCACCCACAACAGATGCTCGTCGTCTCCCCCCTGCGGCGCATCGCTCGTCTTGATCACAAGTTCTACATCCGGTTATAGCTCCGGTGAGGTGATCACTGCTTCCTCTATTCAAAGGTTTTTTTTTCCAAAGTATTATATAAATTCAGCTCTTTCTTTCTTTTTTCACCCTTCTCTGCTCCCCTCTTTTTCCTCATTACAATTTTGTGAGTTACAATTGAAGAAGAAGAAGCAAAAATTTGATCTCACTGACGGATTGAATTCAAGATAGCTTCTGTGCGTAGACCAGGCCCCCTGAATACCAACGCCAACAACCACGCGAAGAAACAGAGTGTGAGAGAGATGATTAAGAAGTGGTTGAAGAGAAAGAGAGCGAGGAAACCGACCCATTGAAGCCTTTAATGTACACCCAATTGTGGTAGATGAGGACACGAGCATGACTGTACTGATAAGCGCAATCTTGCCGAGGCAGGGGAAGGGGGAGGGGGGGACATAAAAATCAGTGTTGGAGGAGCGAAAGACCAGACAGACAGGAGAGAAGAGGTAGATACCAAGATGTTTGATGGAGATGTTTCCTCTGGAACTCATCAAAGGTTATGCTGTGACCCGAACGAATAAGTTCGGCGATCATATAAATTACAATTGATTTAACATGGTCTGGCTAGATTTTTTGTCCTGAATCTCTGCTCTGGTCTGGATGAATGGTAGAGCATCCACAAAAAAGGAAGTAGTAATAGTCGACAGAGATAGTTATCATGCAGAAGGAATTGAAAGCAGGAGATGGATTAGGTACAATGGCAGGAAGAGAAATAGTTCAGAAATATCTTATTATGGATTTCGGATATTTGTTGCCTATTTTGAATATGTCTATGTGTTGAAAGGCGAACAGCACTTTAGGGCCTGGGTGAAAGTTCAGCATCTTGACAATTGGGGCAGTGTCGAAATGATCAAAAAGGCAATGTCTTTGGTGAACGCATGAGGAAGGACAAGTCGAACAAGAAGTGAAAGAAAAGCGGAAGATTGACAAGCGTGGAGGGGGAAGGATTGGAACAAAAGAATGAAAATATTATAAAAAGAGGGGGCAAAAAGTTGGAGTTTCCCCCAAACCCAGGGTCAGTAGGAGAATGAATGTCTCATGCGACATCGCTAGTAGCGGTACCTGTGGAATGAGATGGTTTGAGGTTTAATGTTAAACTTTTTAATTGGTATGGAAATAAAAATATGAAAAAATACAGATAGATCAAGGAGATGTCATAGAACAAGAAAAAAAGCACAATGAAATTTTGAGAGCAATAACATCAAAAACAGAGGGGAAAACACAAAAAAGGACCTCAAAATCATGCCTGCCTCATGCGGGCTTTGAGTAATACGTTGTAAGCCTCTCTGACGAGACTGGGCTGCCGCCCAGACCTGCCCGCAGACTCTCGTCACGAGAGGATTAGTTAAGCTCGGGAGGCTCGCTGGTGTAACTGGCTGGGCGCGAAGCGCCCCCTCCCGCAGGGAGGGACTTGAAACTTAAAACAGGACCCTGGAAACCCCCGAACTATGTGGGTGACCAAAATGTATGAATTTTTTAGAAAAAAATGAAAATCATACGCACGAAAGTGGTATGAATGAGTTTGGTTGCCTTAAAGGTTACGCACCAAACAGCCTTTAAATGTATGAATATCCGCCAACTTGGCGGAAAACCTCCCAAAAATGGCCCGGTCCCCGGCTATTCGGGGGGATTTACTCACTTTCCGGGGGATTTTGGCCCAAACATACGCACGAAATGTGTATGAATGGGCCCAAATGTGCCATTCCCCGGTGCCCCCCGATGTATGAATTTAGTGAAAATTCCGGGATTTTCGTCACCCACATTTATAGGGGGTTTCCAGGGTCCTCTTAAAACGCATTTGCGGTGTGACCCAGAAGCACCGTTTTGGTGGGAGCAACCTTCATTGCCCCACCACTCATTCATTATAATGCCATTTTTTTCTCAATTCTAGTAGATGAAAGATCTACATAATCTTGATTTTCCTATATTTTTTTTATTTTGAAAAGGTGTGTGATTCTATTTGAAAATAGGCAATGAAGTTCATGATTTTGAACTTTAATTTGCAAATTTGGCAGAGAGGCTCGAGCACAATCTCAGTATAAGCATATTTTATGCCTGCAAAATGAGAATTTGTCTTTTTTCTGTTTGTTCTTTTAAAAAAGATTGGTATGGAAATAAAAATATGAAAAAATACAGAAAGATCAAGAAGATGTCATAGAACAAGAAAAAAAGCACAATGAAATTTTGAGAACAATAACATCAAAAACAGAGCGGAAAATACAAAAAAGGACCTCAAAATCATGCCTGCCTCACGCGGGCTTTGAGTAATAATATGTAAGCCTCTCTGACAAGACTGGGCTGCCGCCCAGACCTGCCCGCACATGACTCTCGTCACAAGAGGCTTAGTTAAGCTCGATGTCCTATCACAACCCTGTCATCGATCGACACAGTGACAGAACACGTGTCAGTCAACTCAATCCTCACACAAGGTTCACCACTCAATACTGGACAAAATTGCCTCCATCCAGATTCCAATTAGATCCAATCTACATATTGAAAACCAACGAGTATGATTCTATACACACATGTAAATGAGCTGTCACAAATCAAACACTTTCTAATCAGATTTCAAATTTGGAAAGACTTGCAGTTATTTTTAAATATTTTATCATCAATCTAAATACAGTCTACATTCATTTACTCATGAATCCACCCTTTTGTGCAAGAGGAAAACTATCCTCATCAAATGGGAAAAGTAAAAGATCATCATAGAATCCCAAATCCTTCTGAATTTGATTTTATTATTGTTTTTTGAATTGTATGTACCAATGTGTACCCCCATGTGATGGAGTCAGTAAAAGTGATCCAAACAACTTGATAAGAAAAATGTTGATCATCCAATAACCTTGTTCATATCAGGAAGTGTTGCTTCCCTGATCCTAAGTGCAAGATATTGTTCAGTGACACTTTCTTTCACACAACCAAAACAATTCAAACATGAATTTACCTGATTGTCTATGGAACCTTACAGATATTGGTCCTTTGTGAGCACACAAGTCACCCCCCCCCCCAACTCTATGAGAAAAACATTTCTTGCTTCCATCACTGTTGTTCTGATTCCAATTGATAATTTGATATTATGCACTCTCATTCTCAATTACCAATCACATTATACTCAGTCATATATTAATCATTATTGATTTGGAAGATCAGCATTCCTCTGTGTGATTCCCCTACAAATTACTGGTGTGTTATGGCACAACTCCCTTGCACCAAAACTCTCAATCATCAATTTCTCATAAAAATAAAGATGAATATTGAATTAGGCTGACTAATCCTAGAGAGCTCATATCCAGTCTTAATCTCTAGTAATATGAATAGAAGATAGAGCAAGGGAGACTTATTGAGAAACCAGTCAAGCATGTATGAAGTCAACAGCGGGGTTGATTAATTGAGATTGATTTGAGCAAAATCATGACGCCAGTCTGAGTATTTAGAAATCAAGATACACACTAGAAGAAAATGTGAAAAAGAGGCTTCAGCGCAAGGACTGGGTTCAATGTGAATCATCCCAAGATTTTATTACACAAAAAACTGGAGAAAATCTATCTGGAACCTCTGCAAACAGGAAGGTCCAGCTATCAATCAAGGATGGTAGGGAGGAGGGGAATACGAAAGCTGAGGAGGTGGGCAGGGAAGAGTTTTGTGAGGATCACCACCAAGATGGCCATGAATTGAATCTCTGTGGATGGTGTTAGGTTAGTAAAAGTTGAGCTTACTTGAGCTGAGACAGCCAAAGCAAAACTAAGCTAGAAATCTTACTCGACAATCACCATCACTATCCCCGTGATGAGCAATAAGCAATACAACACTATGCTCAATTTACAGCAAAGACTCCGTTTATTACCTTGCCCTTGAACCTGAGAGTTAATTCTATTGACTTGGCCTGGCCGTTGAGCACCTGGGAAGACTAACATGTTACGGTCTGCTTCCGGCATGTTTGAAATCGGAGCACTTCCTTTCATCCCTTCATCAGAAACTGGCGCTCGACAGATAGGACAGGTGCCATTCTGTTCTAACCATGATCCAACACATCTGTGGACGAGGTGGTTACAAGGTAACTTGCGATAGGGTTTTGACCATTCTTCTGCACAAATTGGACACAATTCAATCCTTTGACTGCTTTCCCCACGAGATCCATCTGCTCCTGTCAAAGCAATGGACCTGGTTTTCTGGTCGGAATCGTCAGAGCTTGCGAGGTCAGTGGCTGTGTGCCTTGAATCTTCCGGGGCTGCCTTACCGCCCCCCTCATTATCGTCAATTCTAATGACTACCTCGGACTAGAAAGATCAGCGTTTCAGCTCCCAGACCTCTTGATCAAGTTTCCGAGCACAACATAGCACAGCTTTTAAACATCAATCCACATACACTGTGAGGTGATTCATTAGGTAAATCTCCCTCGAATCGTTTTAATTGGTGTTGAAAGATCTTAGAATCACCAGCGGTATCTACAGCTTGTGATACTTGTGGGAGTTGGCCGAGTTCCATGGAGGATTCAGTCGGCATGCCATGTCCAACAATCTGGATAAACATGAAATGGTGACTTGTAAGCTTTGGTCATCATATCAAGCAGTAGTGAAGAGTGCTTAACTAAAAGGAATAGCAGCCAGGCAACCATCATAACAAAAAAACGCGAGGAATTATCCTAGAGAATGGATCACAATCAACGAGGATGTCAGACGGTCCAGGTGAGTGTTGGAGGTATTATCTACTGGAACACGCTCACGAACCCTTGCAGGGGATGGAATGAACACCAAGTGGCCATCCTGCTTATCTGGCGTGGTCTCAGCGAGAGAATTTTTTTCGTGTTCACCAACCAATTGGCAGCTGCCATCAACCCAAAACTTCTCTCCAGATTCGTATAAATTGGTTCGGACGGAGGTAAGACATTGTAGGCCCACAGCGGCGACAATTGAGTGCCCCCATGGCGACTCTCTGCGCAACGCGCAACTCGGCCTGAAACCCCTTTCATGGCTGTTGAGCAGTTTTCATACACCAGCCATGGCCGATGGCCATTCATCCATTCCTGCGTCTCACACCCATACGTCATTCAACACCCTACACCTGTCAATTGGACATCTTTGTGGGCTTATCGTCGCCCCCATTTAAGTTTCCAAGATGATGTCAACCACTATGGATACCGGTGTGGATAGAAAGCATCCTGTTAGTCACTAGTTTCAACGGTGTGCCCAGATATGAGTGATGCATTGAAATTCTAAGTCGGCATTGTGAGAATTGGAAACTTAAGAGTGTGATTTCAAAGACATGTCAGGAACTCGCTAAAACAGCTAGTGAAGAGGCATGATGAAATAAGAAACAAAAAGAGAGTCTTCTAGTACCTTAAGAGCAAGGGTACAATATGAGACAGGAGGTGTGTATGTGACAGGTAGAGGACAGCGAAGACGCAGGAGAGAAAGAGTACGATGACAAGAAGAAAGAAGAGGTGCACGAGGTGCTTTAGACAGAAAAGAGCTTCAGTGAGCTTTGAGACAGAAAAGGAAAAGAGAAGTCAGAAATGCGGAACGAGGTCGTCGCAGGTCTGATGTGGGGTGATCTGGATATCGAGGGGATTTGAAAGAGACTTTAGTATGAACAGGGATAGAGCTTCGATATTGGTTCGCAGATACTGAACACACAGGTCAAGGGAAGTCAGCCTCTTATAAAGATGCAGACAGGTAGGACATCTGTTCGTGCTTACAGGGTAAGGGTCCGAGCATCGCATGGATCACGCGGTAGTCAGTCCATGGCCATGTTGGTCCAGTTCAGTCTCCTGAGCATCGATGCCTATGGTATCGGTAGTGAGGGTAAAATGCTGGTTAGTCACAGAATGTCACAGAAGGGGTATTAGACCCTCGACTGGTTGGAACCTGCTTGTTGACTTACAAGTAAAGACTTGGTTCAAGAAGGCGTTCGAGGCTGAAGCCTCCCCGTTTTGCAGCCAAGTGGCTTCTCGAACACAAGCACAAGTGGACCCACTTGTGTGATTCTTCTCTTGTTACTCCTCCTTCCTCCTTCCCGGTCATTGTCCACTCAATGCCGATTTCCTTCACCCCTTCCAATCAATCGTCCATCTTGGAATTATGCAAAGAAAATAATATCGATTCTAAAGATATTCTCTCTATCCGATGGCTCGGCGACCCGCGCAATAAAAAACAATCCCATGGATCGTTGATTATCAATCTTTTTGATAAAAACCTTGCTCAAAAAGTTGAGAAAGGTGGTCTATTTTATAAGTTCCTATTCCTGAGAGGTGCCCATTATAAGAAGTCTCCATTACAATGCTTCCAATGCCTTGAAGTCGGTCACACCACCCAAATCTGCAAAAATCCTCCAATGTGTAAACTCTGTGGTGATAACCACAACTCTAGAGATTGTACTTCCGATGACAATAAGGACGCGTGTGTCAAATGCATCCAATTTGAAAAAAGTTTAGATCTTCCCACTGGAGTGGATGAAGACAACATCCGATTCCGCCACTCTCCTACCAGTATTAAATGTCCCTTAAAATCTAAATCTCTCCGCAAAAATATCTTAAGTCATGTATAGGTACACCGACAACAACCCAAATTCAGAATTTCCTTTCTCTCCTCCTTCATCCCCTTCTTCTCCTTCGTCATCTTCATCAGAATCCTCAGAACCACTGTTTAAAATTTTGCAACTCAATTGCCATAACTCATTTGATGTCACCTTCAGTGTTCTCAACACTGAAGTGGAATCTTCAGTTTTAATCCTCCAAGAACCTTGGATAAATCCTCATTCTTTTAATCTTCCGTTCCATTCCAACTAGCGCTGTCTTCTCGACCACAATCATTCCACCTCCCCGTGATCAAAACAAGCACCGATGTTGCTTTTTGATTAATAAAAAATATAGCTCGGACCGAATTCATCCCTTCCAGGAGGCTCTCGCATCTTATCAGCCGTCGACATCGACATCAACATCAACAACATCCAAAAAATCCGACTCATCAATGTATACAACCCTCCCAGAAATTTTGAAGCCCTCCCTGAACTCGACTCTTGGTTAATCAACTTCAACAACCGGAAAATCCCATCATTCATCTTCATCGACTCAAACCTCCACAACAAGCTCTGGAACCCTTCCAACTACCCCCATTCTCACAATGAATCTAAATTCCTCATCAAAATCTGTGGTCGAAGCGGCTTCAAACTCATCTCTCAAAAAGGCATACCCACCTTTTCGACTAAAAGATCAAGCGCGACAACAATCGATTTGACTTGGGGCAATTTCATCTCCCAAAAGCTCATCCACTCTTGCTCAACTTCCTCCCTCAACCATGGATCGGATCACCAATCAATCCATCTCAAACTCAACTTCCAGTCCAACATCCAAATCAACGACCGCTTGACCTGCGACCTTGAAAAAATCGATCCTGAAAAATTCTGTTCCGATCTGTCAAAACATCTAAAAAAAATTTCCTCTCTTCCATTAAATAATTCTCATGATATTGACATCATGGTCGAAAAACTAACCATCTCCTTTCAAAATTCTATCGACTCCCAAAAAAAACTTGTTAAAAATAATAATAAAAAAATTAAACCCTGGTGGGATAATAAGATCCTTGCCCCCATCGCAGAAAAAAGAAATCGAGCTAGGAAATGGATGCTACTGTCCAAATCTGCTAACTCTTGTAATTGTTTCAACCAATGGCAAGCGGTTTTCAAGGAGAAGGTTTTCGAACTTAAAAGGAATCATTGGAGAAAGTTCCTTGCTGAATGCAACGACTTTCAACTCTTCAAAGCTTACAAGTACACCAAACCGAACAGTAGCGGCAATGTCGCACCCCTAATCAACAACCAGAACATTCTCATCTCCAACAAAGAAGAACAAGCTTCCCTGCTCTTCAAAGGAACATCCGACGCGCCCATTGACTGCTCCCTGTCGGATATCACTCCCCCTATCCTTTCCTCCCCTTTTCTTTTCCCATCCATCTCCGGTTTTGAAATCGGTAACATCATTTCCAATCTTCCCAAAAAGAAGTCGCGCGGTCACGATGACATCGCCAATGAATTCATAATCTGGGGTAAGGAACCCCTAATTCTTCCACTTTGTAATCTTTTTTCATCATGCCTAAAAATTGGCTACTTCCCTCTTTTTTGGCGTCATGCCACTACCGCAATCATCCGAAAAGCTGACAAAGATTCATACTCTTTGCCGGGTTCTTATCGACCCATTGCACTTTTATCGTGTTTAGGGAAAATCTTTGAAAGCATCCTGACCAAAAGAATCACCTTTTGGGCAGAAAATAATAACGTTCTTGCCGACGGCCACTTTGGCGGAAGGGCAGGTCGAAGCACCGATGACGCAAACTTATTCCTAACTTCTTGGATTCGCCAAAAATGGCGCGAAAAGAAAATTGTCTCTGCTCTCTTTCTTGATGTAAAATCAGCATTCCCAACCGTTATCAAAGAACGACTTCTGAACCATCTTAAAACCAAAAACGCTCCCTTTTACTTTTTATCCATCATCTCAAGCTTTCTTTCAAATCGATCCACTTCGCTGAAAATGGAAGACTACTTGTCATCATCTTTCCCTTTGAGATGCGGGTTGCCGCAAGGATCCCCCCTATCCCCAATCTTATACATTATTTATAATTCATCCCTTCTAATCGACTGCCCACTAGATTTGAACCAAGACTCATTATCATTGGGTTTCATCGACGATGTAACCCATCTTGTCGCCGAAAAATATCTTGAAACCTCTATAAGGAAACTGGAGGAAGAAGGGCGTAGATCGCTCTCTTGGGGTCACAACCACAATGCTATATTCGACAGGAAGAAAGCCAATTTCATGATCTTCACTCACAACGCCGTCGACGTCCGACCTTTCAAATTCGGCGACATTTCTCTCCCAGTTTCCCATTCTGTAAAATATCTAGGAATCATTTTTGATTCAAAACTTCTGTTCACCGACCACATTAAAAAAGTTAAAAAATGTGGTGAACAAACAGCTTCCCAACTCATTCGCATCTCTCACTGTTCCTTTGGAGTTGGCTTCCACCAATCTAAGAACCTGATTATCAGTGTTCTTCGCTCTAGAGTCCTTTACGGCAGCGCCATATGGGCTACTGAAAGGAAAAATTCGACCATCAACAATCTGTTTAAAAAAATTGATAATCTAGCTAATCGCATCATACTTGGAGTGTTTAAAACCACTCCTTGTGCTTTTCTTCAAAGAGATTCACCTCTAATCCCTTTCTTTGAAATCTTGAAAAGAAAAAATCATCTATACATTATAAAAAAAAGTACAGCTCCACCTTCTCACCCAATCAAACGCCTTATCGATTCAGAAATGTCCGCCTCGCCCTCTACTCATCCTTCTCCAATCCACAACATCCTCGATAAACACCTCATCTCCAACTACAATCTCTCATCCATCGAAACCATCTATCCCCACATCATCGATCCTTGGGAAGATTTTTCGATCCCAATCTCAAATCTAAAAACCAAAAAAGAAGAAATCAAATCTAAGGTTCAACTCCAGATCAACAATCTCAAATCCAAATCTGAACATCTCATATTCACCGATGGTTCCAACATTCCTGAAATCGGCTCCGCTTCGGCTGCTCTTTTGGACAACACCACCGAATTCTCCTGTCGAATTAGCGACTCGCAAAAATCATCCGCCTTTGAAGCAGAAGTGCAAGCCATCAGCATCGGCCTTGAAATCTTCATCAACAAATTCTTAAATTCCCCTTCCAACGTCTCCTCCAACATTGCTCCTATCAATATTTTCTGTGACAGCCAATCCACTCTATTCTCCATCGCCAATCCTCCCCTTCCTAAATCATATCAATTTACTTTCTTGAACATTTTCAAAAAACTCAAAATCATCTCAAAGTTATGTCACATTCCTATCGCCTTATTCTGGTGTCCTGCACACGTCGGTATTCCAGAAAACGAAACGGTCGACAAACTCGCCAAAGCCGCCACTCTCTCTAGTCATCCACACCATCTCCAGAATCAAATACAATCGTTATCTAATACTCAACAACTAGCTCGTTCCTTCTTCAAATTCAACAAAACGAAGAAATCTATTATCAGAAACAAAATCCGCCTCTCTTTCCCTCCGCTAAAAATTTTCGAACAACTCGACCAACTTGAAAGAAGTACCGGTTCCATTATCTATCAATTACGGTCAGGTCATTGTCCACTCAACAGCTACCTTTTCTTTATCAAAAAACTCGATTCTCCAAACTGCGATCTCTGCGACACTCCTGAAGATGTCAAACACTTCATGATTTACTGTCCTAAATACAACTCACAAAGGAAATCCTTCAGACAATCGCTTACATCACACAAAATCAAAATCAACGTCAATTGCATCAAAAGTCTCCTCGATTCGCCGAAATGCTTCAAACTTCTCTCTAACTTCATCCTCAACACTCATAGATTCAAAAATATCAAACAATATCTCGAAAAAGAAGAAAATTAAAAAAAAAAAAAACTCACCTTTTCTTTTCCAATTATCATTTTCTTTGGTTAAAAGTCATCATTTTCTTTGGTTAAAAGTCATCACTTTCTTTGGTTAAAAGTCATCACTTTCTTTGGTTAAAAGTCATCACTTTCTTTGATTAAAAGTTATCATTTTCTCTGATTAACAACTATCACTTTCTTTGGTTAAAAAGTTATCAAAAAAAAAAAAAATAATAATAATACAATCGGAAGGGCTATTAGGCTGGATACAAGAGTTGGTCGAATGGATTCGGCTTTTTCCCACTCAATCACCTAGGGCTTGTGGTTTGGGTCACCACAAGATACTCTGCCTAGTCAACAGAGTATGGAAAGCCGGATTCGTTTGGCCTTCCCTATTTTCAGACCCGATAAAAAGAGTCGGATTTCCTTTTTCTCAATTTCTCTTCTAAATTTCTTTTGTTTCTTTTTTTCTTAAAATCATCATTTCGCCAGTCAAAATAACTTAGCATTCAATCTAGAAGAATAAAAAACTGTTATTATTATAAAATCTTTAATAGTTTTCTCTCACACAAAGTTCAAAAACGTCATCGCATGTATTCTTACAAAATGTATTTCTCTCAGTGCGCAATGTGAAATCAATTAGCACTAAAAAAAAAAAAAAAAAAAAAAAAAAAAAAGAGGCTGAAGCCTCAGAACAGGGGTCAGGGATCGAAACTTGACAGGCATCATTCTTAAGATGATTCCTTCAATGCGACTGACGGGCCAAGCACAGTATATATTTGCTAACAAACAGTAAGAACAAAAAGTCTGAATCCTCGGTTTTTGTATGATTTACGGCTAGAGGCTTTAGTTTATGTACCAACTGAAAAGGAGATGATGATTCTCAAACAAAAAAAAGTAATGTTTTTTGGCTGATTCAAAATTGTCAGAAACATGACAAGGAAGCAGGAGGGTTGATGAGAACTAGAGGTCAAAGAAAGTGCTTAAAAGAATTTGAAGACGAGCGATTGGAGAGATTCCGAGGTATTTGGACTCGCCGGAGCTGCCTGAGACAGACCATGTGAGGAGAAAGAAAAGGTGATTGACGATGTGACTAAGGAGGAGGATCACATAGGCAGGGCTCGTTGGCCGAGAGGAAGCCGATCTCTTAATGCGCCCTCGGCTGACGAATTAAGTCCTGGGAGAGGAGGACAGCAGTGAGCTCCGTGATTCCTGCTCTAAGCCGGTTGGCCGTCGACCTTCGAGCATCCGCGACGGTGAGCAACAACGTGTTTTTGATCATTACGGTGAACAACATCGTGTTTTCCCTGCCCCGTTGCTCCGCTTGGGTTTTGCGCAAGGACCCGAACGTAAGTCCCCTCCGAGGAAGTCGCGCTTTGCACGACTTCTTCGCACTGTGCTCGCAGGAGACTGGTGTTTATTTTGGTAACGACCCGGCTCGTTGACCGAGAGGAAGCCGATCTCCGGTGCTCTTGGCTCGAGATAGTTCCTGGACAAGACGGCAGTAGGGAGCTGCGTGATTGCGGGTCTTGGCTATCGACCTCTGAGCATCCGTGACGGTCAGCAACAATTGCATTCTTCCTGCCATTGTTCTGCTTGGGCTGGCACCCCTCGCCCAGGTCGTACTTTGCGCGATCGTAGGTCGGCAAGTGCAACGACCTCGACCGACCGCTCCCCCTGCAGGCAGCTTCCGAGTTGGATTTCAGCCCGAGCAAGCGGCCGGCCGGCCTGGGTGCTCTCAACTTTCAACTCGAACTCGAATCTGACGTCACTCTGCTGCAATCACTTCAAATCGGAAGTATTGTGTTTTGAAGAATGCTTGGACGGATTTGCAGGATCTGCATTCGAAAATCCTGGAATTTCACCATTTAAGTTTGGATTTTTTTTTTTTGCCTCTCAAAGCCATGATGTCGTCATTGACAATCACCTTTGTCACAACTCACAGCAGCCTCCATCGTTATCGATTCACAATCCTGGTGGCACGCTACCTCCAATCCACCCCCCAAAACCATTGAAAACGATCAACTGATTAATAGTGGTTCAAAAATTGTCTCAATGGCGCACTTTGGACACGGCCCTCTTGGAAGGAGTACACCATCATCAAGTTATCAGGCCAGCGAGTTCGGAGGATTCATGAAATTGTACCACTGTTATTCAAAAGCCTGGTCAGTACTCTACCTCCTCAACAATACACAGGACCAATGGTGTTTCTGATCCATTTTGTCTTGTCCCCTCTACATACAGGCACAGATCTTTCATTTCCACTTAATCAATCCCATGCTCTCAATCTGGGATTGTTGCCTATTATTTTTCTTATCGAGTTACTTACCATTGATCTAAACTTGTTTCCTATCATCCTTTTTACCCCAATTGTGTATGGCATCGTTGATCAAGAAGAGTGACAGAAATCAACTTTAATACTGAATACCGACTTGATGAGATGAGGACCAGCAATATCAGAGTTATCTTTAATGAAATGCGAGCCATTTCAAGAGAGACCAATCTTGATAGGATTCGAGTCAGAGTGAATTGTTAGAAGAACCCTGTCCGCATCAATTCTCATCTGTAGACTTTAGCTGAAAGTTTGAGACTTTACAAAAGATTCAAGTAAATTCACCCAATCGCTGTCATCTTGGGCTAGAGCTTGAGAAATGACAACTATTACAAGTTTAGCGATTAACTTGGAGTTGAGTCAAAGTTGTTTTTGCTTCAACATTTGATAGAGATGAATACATAGTCTCCTTTCCAAGTTACAACCATTTGTTTTACTTTAATCAAAGATATGTGAGTTATATAAAACAATGCAGATGAATGGAAAGAGTTCAAGAACAACACCGATTGATTACCTTGGTGTATATGGTGTGTGTCATACTCGAGACCAGTCTTGCTTCTACTGCCGTCGGCAGATTTAGATTTTCAGTGGCGGCCCACCTCACCTCATTGGGCCCGTTCGTCCCATCACCGAACCCGACTGGCTCGATTCGCTCTCATCTCCTCTCAGTCTTATTGGAGGACGGCCGAATGAACGATGATCCACCAATCTTGATCACCAAATTTAGGTCGGGATTCCTCTTGAATGACCTTTTGATGAAAGTCTTGTCGACCGCATTACCGCTGAGAACGACCTCAGCAAGTGGCTTTGCAAACCACCGAAATCTTGTTCTGTGATTCATTACGAGCGTAGGAGATGCTTGATTCACGCTCGAGGCTGGTAGTTGCTGTTTAAATGCTGCAAAGCCAAGTCCAATCAGACTATGATAGCACGTTAGCTCCATTCGTATGACAAAACAATCACTGAGAAATAATGATACCAACTTTTGGGTGGCCAAAAACCGGAGTCCTTCAAGCGCCATTAGGATTGCGCAAAATTTATCGGATCCCTTGTAAGATTGAAGAAAATGTCTATCAATGTTTTGGTTGGGATTGGGGGGGGGGGGGGGATCGGTATTGGTGGTGGTGCTGCTGGTGTCTGCTCGATCACAGCAAGGTGAATCAAAGCAGAGCTGTGTGGCAAAAACCAGCAGCTTAAACTGCTGCACAGCAGCCTAACGACATAACTTTAGTGCTTGGAAAGCGTTGGTTTGTCCAAGCTTTATTCAAAAGACAATAGTTGAGATCTAGTTTACCACTCCTTTACAACAGTCAACTGGTCAACAGTCTGCATGTACGTTCTTCAATTTCTTTCTTCCTTTTTATTTTTCCATCTTCTTGTTGACCATCATCATCTTTCTTTCCTATGTACCAGCGTTATGTCCCAGTAGTGTGTGGTGGTCTGTTTCTATTCTTAACCTGCTTTCATCTCTGTAGACTATACTGTTCCTGTTTGATTTATATGTAGGTAAATTGTTTCCTTTATTTTATTGTACTCATCTTTTCTTCAGGCTAAAATTTGGTTTTATTTAGCCTGAATTTATCAGCCGGTACCCAGCCCCCTCCGTCCGGGTCGGCGCATCACGCTTGACGATCGACTGTTGCTTCGCCTTGCTCGCATGCAACATCATTTTTTGGAATCGTCTCGTGAAGTTCCACGACCGGTCATCCTGAAGGGTGTATGATCTGCTCCCTCTCAGTCTCTTCCCGTCCATCTCCGTGCGCGTCAGGACGATAACGATGCTCGTATTGAAGCGCTTGCTTGATCAGTACTTGGAATGGGTACGCTGTCGAGTGCTCGAGGCGTAGAAGCTAATTTCTCATAGCTTCCCTTCGCATTTGCTTAGTCCAAGCCATCCATCCAGAGCGCCTTCATTGTCATCCCGGCGAGAAATATAAATACATGTCCATAGCTGTCCATAGATCTCTGGAAGATATGTACCGTAGCCAAACAACCGGAACTAATAAGGAGTTGATGGATGCAGTTTTAGAGCGTGTATGTATGCGACTCCAAGCTATGTACACCTCCCGCCCTGCAAACCTGAAACGAAGAAACCAAGAGCAATCTTCTTCTTAATACAAATTGTGTAGTTGAATACCATTGATCTGCTTTGAGGCCAATCGGACATCGCCCGCCTCGCGCTACATTGTGTGCTTCCTTGCGTACGGCTCAAGACGGGTCCTAATTGGAGATTCATTCACGCCGTTTCAGCCTATTGACTACTTATAGGCTCCATTCCTCCTCTCCTGCACCTGGGCCCCCCCACCCCTCAATACCCCACCACTCGCAACACAATGCGCTTCACCCTCCTTACACTTACAGCCTCTTTGTTGCTTTTGACTCACCAGGCATTCGCCGGTGAGGATAACATTGACCCACCATTAAATTCAACCAGCACAATCCAAAGCTTCAGTTTCCAGCGCAAGCTATCATGGACCAACCAAGATTTTGACGTGACCCAGGACGGCAATAACGCCCACATCATGTCTGTTGAAGCCCATCTAAAAGATAAATGGATGAAAGCCCATTTTGCCTTGGATCTCGTCCTGCCTAGTGGTGAACGTGTAGGAATCAAAGTCGAGGTCAGTGTGGTAGATCACCGCAGCCCAGCCTAGCATCCGTCCATCTTTTTCCAGCGTGCAGAGTTACACCGTAAACTTAAAGCCAAACGTACTCTTTTTCTCCTCACCCTGGCATCATCTCACCTTATTCTAGGGAAAACTAGTGCACTGCGGCTTCACGCAAACTTACAAGATATCGAATGGCGTCCAATTACTAGTTGATCCACGCGGAACGTTCACCGATCGATGGTACATCAAGAAGTCGGGATACATCAAGCAGGCATACACTTGGCACCGCCACTTGCGAGGGCTCTCAGGTGTTGTCACGGGCGAGCATGGTAGAAAAGTTGCTTATTTTTCAGGTGAGTAGTGTAAGGATTGGATCTGCTTCCGAGTACTACCTTGATATCTTGACTGAATATTCAATCGCATTTCTCTGAACAGCTAAAACCTGGGGCAGTTCGTTCTTGGCGGGTCTGAGTCATTCGAAATGGCCTCAAACATCACGGTACACCATAAAAACCAACGGAGAGGTACCTTTAGTGAGTAACCTGACTTTTTCACTGATTGATATGTACAACCCACAGTTGACCAAAAGAAACTTTGGGATTATAGGAAATATTGGTTGCACTCTATGTCAGTGCAGCTGTCAGAAAGGACTTGTGCGGCTGGTGATGACCGCCAACTCCAATCGGATCTTCTTGTTTATGTTTCTTAAATCTTTCCTCCTCTTCCATTCATTCATCAGAGTCTCCACTCTCGTTTTCCACTTGGTTACTACTCGTCTCTCTTATCTTGGCAAGTGTCGATCCATGCGACCTTTCATATGTACTCAACACACATCTTCACGATCATCATCAACAGCTCAATAGTTGATAAAAACACGAAGAACTATCGTGAAACTTTGATTGATTTTTTGAATTTTGAACGCCAAACTCTAGTGCGCAGCAAAACGCTCGAATGCCTTGTAACTTTAAGAGATAAGCCAAAGTTCAAATCATGCCGTTCAAAATTTGGCACATTGTGCGGAATTCACGCTGTTGTGTTGACCTTGATGCAGGAATCAGGATTAACATTGTGCATGCCCCCGAGTGGTGTCTTTGGAAGACGAGTATTTACGTTGCTGGCCTTGAAGCCGACAGAAAAATCCTGATACGAGTGATTTCGGAAGGGCAAACTGAGTGCAGCCAGAGTATTCCAGCGGGTGTCGTTCGCTTGGAGAGTCCTTAACCGATTTCTTTGCTCGCCTGCCCTCGCCAGGCTCGCTTGGGGAATGAAATCCTGGCGCAACCTCGAACCAGAGTGGCCGTCCAACGTGGCGCGCGATCGCACTAAGATCCCCTTGAGTTGGGAGGAAGATGATTTTCACCTTGATCAACATTGATGTTTATGCTGCTCATCACCAGTTGTGCAATGACTTGATGGTCCTCAAAGCAATGAAGTTCTTTTCCGAGCGTGCGGGCCGGTTCAGCAATAAAGTCCCTTTCCGAGGTGTGCGGGCCGGTTCAAATCAGTCCCCATCAGAGTGCTCATCAGTCCCGCGGCGTTAGAGGCCGATCATACAGGGATTGTATGTACACTGCCCGGAAGGGAGCATCGCTGCACCGCCTCAAGTTTCACAAGCTCACCCCGGCTGCCAAGAAGACGGATTCAGCCGAGAGCTTTATGAGGCTTTATGTCGACATAAGTATTTACATAAATATGTATGCTGTACGTAAATATTTTTGATCACTGACATTTGTCGGGAAAATGTGACTCGGAGTGACAGACCCCGACGAGTGTTTTGCCATTGATTGAGTAAGCACACATCAGCACATCGTTGAAGCAAACGTTCGTTGATCAACAAACAATTGTCTCGAGCCTCCGACTCCAGCCTGCAACATTCAGCCCTTCTTAGCCGAAGCCTCTGATACGGTCTTCTTAGCTCCAGAGTGCAGCAGCAAGAAAAAGCTTCTCCAGACTGAATCTCTTGGACACCAACGGGGCAACATGGAGCCGGTTGACAAAAAGCACCCAGACGATCCACAGTCCGACCCCACCCCCGTCTCATCTGGCTCCGGCCTTTCATCTGATGTCAATCAGGTCCTCCTGCGTGAAGAAGACTTGTCGCCGAACCGGTCCAAAAAAGTAAGCATGTATTACAAATTCAAATTCCGACCTCATTGGAATGTCGTCTCCTTATGTTAATGACTCGGTTGAACTTTTGAAAATAGTCCATTCTTTGAATGTGGAGCAGGATGGAAAAAGGGCCATCTTGAAACTCGATCTGATGTAGGTTCCTTTGTCTTATTCGCGCCAGCGAAAAAAAAAAATGGCAGTGCATCTTTGATCCGGATATAAATGACCCATGATTTACTTTTCCAGCGTGTTACCCTACGATCGTTATGTTTTACTTCTTCTCGTCCTTGGATCGTGGAGCAGGATGAAAAAAGGGCCATCTTGAAACTCGATCTGATGTAGGTTCCTTTGTCTTATTCGCGCCAGCGAAAAAAAAAAATGGCGTTGCATCTTTGATCCGGATATAAATGACCCATGATTTACTTTTCCAGCGTGTTACCCTTGATCGTTATGTTTTACTTCTTCTCGTCCTTGGATCGGTCCAACATCGGTGGGTACCATTTCCACCATGATCATTAAGACTGACGCAGCGGATATAAATCACTTACATGTCCGTATGGGACACCGTGTTTACATTCTTTACTCTTCCTAGGAAATGCTCGAGTTGCGGGTAAGTGTGCAGTAAACCAAAACATAAGATCCCATTCCCCTCGATCCTATCAAACCAGCTGACAGCCCCGTGCACATTTATCCGGTTTGCTTTACAGGTCTGCAGACAGCCCTGAAGCTGTCGGATCACCAATATTCCGTGGCACTCACGTCCACCTTCATGTGAGTAATCGTCGCCAAAAGTTCATCCTCCTCGAAGTTCAGAGTGCTCATCCGCATGCATTCTTTTGTCTGTTTCCTTTCCGCTTTACAGCACCTATGTCGTGCGTCACATTCAGCTATCAGAAACACGACTGCTTTTGAAATCTGATAAAAGTGATGGATTCAGCTGGTC